TATATATATACTATTTTGTGTATGTGCGTAACACTAGTTTACACATTATCAAAAACTAATAACATGGTGTCTTAAGTATCTTAAGAATTTGAAACGAAACTGGATTTCTGAAGAGATATTTTTATACAACAGGTTACATGTAAAGAAAATGCGTTAAAATGTAATACATCAAGTGGAATACAGTAAATGCAATGAATAAGAGGAATAATCATCATTATACTTATTGCATTGTTTTACTTGATGTTTCTTGGTTCAAATTATATTTCAAATTATTTATTAAAATTTTATTTAGATAATTACTTCATTCTTAGGTAATTATAAAATTCCTGGTCAAAATATTGTTTATTCAAAGAGCTGCTGCAAACAGGTCTGTGAGTGGATAAGATGACATTATAATAATACTAATAATAATAATAATAATAATAATAATAATAATAATAATAATAATAATAATAATAATAATAATAATAATAATAATAATAATAATAATAATAATAATAATAATAATAATAATAATAATTGTTGTTGTTGTTATTTACCATGTGTTTATGCTGTGTAGGAATTGCTTGTCAACATAATCCACTCCCGGCAATTGTTATCGATATTTAGTAATGGAATAATATACGCTCATCCAAGCAAAATGATGGTTAAATATTGACACCTTAATAATTATTTTATTTCTTTGCCAGATGAGGACTTCAGTTTGCTTAAAGTTGTTGTTTCAAACTGGTATGACAGTCACCATTGTCTTGCTATGCTGAAACTGTTGTTCAGAGATCATGTGGAACATGGCGAGCTGGCAAGAGTAACTAATACATTGGATTTGCTCAATATTTTGTGCAGACTTGATCGTCTGAGTTCACGGAAACTTAGATTTCTGTGTGATACAATTAGCATAACCAAACATTTTGGTCTTTCATCTGAGATTAAAAAAAAACTGCCATCATTCCCAGATGTAAAGGAAGGAAGCATTTGCGCAGATTTCACACCTCACAGACAGAAGCTAATGAAATTTGGAATGGAACTGACCCCAACCAATGTGGCGCAGATCGACGGATTATATAATACGCCTTGTAAGAATTATACTGATTGCTGGGAAATGATCACAGATCTAGAAGATAAAATGGAAATCAGTGAAAAAAATATGAAGGAATTCATTGATTCGCTGGAAACCATTAATCTTCCTCTAATGGTATTGAACACACTGACAGAAGGTATTCCTCACTGTTTAAATACCATGACATTTTATTTTACATTCTTTTGTATTTTGAATGTTGTCATGATTAAAGAATAGTTTAGCTAACAGATTATTATTATGTTTACTATCTTCATGTATTCGAAGGCAGACCATCATAACATCCATTTTTCACATATTTGTAGAGTATTATAACGTAATCTGATCTGATAAACCATCTGATTTTAATCATTTTAGGTCTATAGGCCTTATCGGAAAATGATGTGTGGACATCACTGCTCCTTCTGTTGTAAGTAATTTAATTTTTTTTTGTAATTGTAATATTTTTTCTTGATTTTTTTCTGGTAATTTTAAGTGCACTTTTGACGCAGTTTCTATATTTCTATATTTTCATGATATAATAAGATGAAGGATGTAGGCCTATAAAAATAAATTTTATCAGAAACATACTTTGTAGCTGCCTTCTAAAGCATCCAATGCTTTCTTCTTGAAATTGTGACACCCCCCCCCCTTTCGAACTTTAACAGCCAACGCGTACACTTTTAATTTACAGTTGGCCGTCTGTGACCGCTTGTAATTAAAGCTTATTGTAATTATAAGATATTTAATATTCTATTGTTTTGACAACGTTTTAAGGCACCCGCAGACTTTGTTAATTTATTTAAGGTGTGCGAGCAGAGAGACTCACAGTCGATACTTAAATATACACTAAACGTTGAAACATTAAAACTCTGGTCAATTTATAAAGCATAAGCCTGTGGCAGTAGGGTTCACCGCTAGTTTCACAAAATTGTATGAAAAAACTTTGAAGAATAATAGTCATCGTAATTCAATATTCCTGAAAATTAAACAAGTAAAGTTTAATTTATTTATTAAACATGATTAGCGAAATAATTCTCATTGGATTTTGTTTTTACAGTGCAATTACCTCACTTGTGACGTTTTAAACCAACCGTTGAGATGTCTTCTGAAGGCAAACCAACTTACGAGTGTCGAATGTTGCTACATTCTTCATTGATGGAAAAAAATCTGTTTTTTGATAGAGAAAAGGAAAAAATCTTAAATAGAAAGATGTCAATACACTGACATTACACTGACGATGAAATTGATTCGGCACTTCTGTAGATCATACCCAAAACACTTCTGTGTAGCACCAGGTGAATGAGTAGTTATCAAGCTTGTAAATCTTATCCGTATCCATCAGTATCGAAACAATCATTTGGTCCATTGTCCCAACACTAGAATGTCAAACAGGAAGTTTGATTAAAACTGGCGCAATCTGACAGACTACCCAATGAAGGCAGGCACTGTTTCCAGAGGAATAAATATTTGTGAAAAATTACATTATGCATGGAAAGCCAGTGTAACATAGTGATTAAAGTATGTACTTATATAATAATGACGTCAGTACATTTTCCATACAATACATCCACCCACCTTTTTTCCACACGCATACATGCAAAATATAAATGGATCACTGTTAAAAATAGTTGTGTAACATGAATGATTGCAATAGGCCTAAGCATGTACTAATGACTTCATCACAGTATAGACCTAGAGTATACAAGTATAGTGGATTTTTATCCTGGTGGATAACATGTTTGCTTTAAAATCCTCAGGGTAGTGGTTTCAAATCGTGTAGCATCCAATTTTTTTCCCTTACGACTGAAAATGACGTCACTTCCTAACGCTGCTATGCATGAACATTAACTACGTTGTACAAGTTATTTTATACACCAAATTCAGTTCATATTGTTATACAACCTCAAGGTCAATACATAAATGAATATGTAATTTTTTTATTCATGAAAATTCGTTACAAAACCTGTGAAGGCAAGATAGGCACATAGTCGATTGACTAGTGGCTAATAAGTAGCCTCACCCTTAAATAAGCTTAAACTACAGACCAAAAAAGAAAAAAAAAAAAAAAAAAAACAAACAAAAAAAAAAAAACACACACACACACATCAATAACACCTCAAGAGGATTAGTTTTCTTAAGGTGTTTAACTAAATTTTGATTAAAAGTGGATTCAGATTATGAATCTACCACTGGTATTAATCATTTTAATTAAATTCATATACCTGTAATTTTAATTGTGATAATTTATCATGTTTAAATATAATGCATAAGCAGTAATAATTCAATGTTGTACATATAATTATGAGGTATGTGTATCAGTAAGTTTGATACAATTTTGATAATTTTAATTGTTATAATTTTAATGATGTACAATTTTAATATTGTAATATTCATACTGTAAATATAATAATAATAGGGCCTGTCTTGTTTAATTATAATAGCAGTAATAATTCACTTCTATACATATAATTATGAGGTATTTTTGAATTACTCTAATTTGTATATTTATAACAATATTTATAATAATATTAATGTGCGACATTGATAATCTCAATCATTTACTTTAAATATTGTAAATAATTTGATTGATAATAATGTAATAAACTATTAGAAATTCAAATTTATGCTTAGTCGTTTTATAGATTAAGTCTTATTTATATATTTATAGTTAATTGTTAAATTATAATTATGAGTTTTGAATTGATATAAATTATAAATACTAGTACGTACTGCTCATTTATTGTAGTATTCGTAACATTGTTTATGTTTTAAGATGATAAATTAATTTTTTTGACAAAAATAGTTCCCCATAATTCTAAGTCCGGTTTACAAATTTTAAGCTGTTTTGTGACGTTATAATATAATATAATTTCTATTGTCCTCGGACTACTAACATTTGAGTGAAGTATCCTATACATAACACTTGTTGGATATTTTCACTTAGAATTTTTTCTTTTGGAGTTTATTTCTTTTATTTATTTTTCTGTGTGGTGGCAGATGGTTATTTTACAAGGCACTTTAGTTGGTTCTCTCCACCCAGGAGTCAGGGGTGGCGCCAGGGGTGGGGGGTGCGGCGGAGAGAAAAAGCACAATTCAAAATCGATTAAATAAGCCCTTGAAACCCCTAAATTGTCAAAATTTTCGTGGGCTTCGTCCCCAGGACCACTTTCGGAACTTTTTAATCGAAGCTCGACCACACCCACTTTGCTTTTGTGGAGGAAATTTGACACCTCGTTGGGGGCGCCACCCCTGTAAGGAGTAAAAAAAAATGAGTTATGGGTCGGGGTGCATGGTCACTGCTCTGAATATACGTCTGCAACAGAACCATTGTGAAGCATGCTGATCAAAACTTAAACATTTATATGCAATCTGCGCATTATAGGCCTAAATGTGTAAATTGTGACTGTATTATTATATAATAATGTAAAAGATCGCGTCTACAAAAGCTGTAGTGTTAAATTGTGATGTGAAACAACATTATGTTTAGGCCTTTGGTTTAGCATTCTACTGCTTCAAAATAGAAACGCTTCATTTGTAACAATAAAATGCATCGTCACGTAATTTTATTTATACTTTTTTGCGTTTTGTGTGATTGGTTGTCGGTGGTTATAATAAAATCAACAAAACATATTAATTATATTATCACAGATATAGAGTCTGTGATGATTATGTATATTTAATTGTTGTAATCACATTTAGTTGATGAATATTTTGTTCAGGCATTTAAAACATGGACATGGTCCACGTTTAAACTATTATTATTATTATTATTATTATTATTATTATTATTATTATTATTATTATTATTATTATTATCTTTGAAGTTAGGCGCATAATTTATTATTAGAAAAGGAGTGTTTGTATTTAACTTGTAAAATTTACTCTCATTATGGTCACCTTAACATAGCCAACAATATCATCATTGGGCCATCATAGGAGGAAGTAAACTTTATCATATGTTGAAATTTTAAGGATTGCACGCGTCCTGATGCCTGATTCATGGCCCATGATAGATAGAAGCCCATTGTTATAAATCATAGAGGTAAAGTGGTTATTGGGTTTTATCGTCAATACACTCATAAGCGTACTAATTTGCATGATGATAGACAGCAAATGAACCAAAGAAAAGCGCTTATAAAATTGTATTTCGATTGTCCTGTAAATACCGGGGTCTATGATGTCAAGTTTTGTTCTGATCAAATTGTGTTTCGTGAATAGCCATCTTTTCAAGTCATACGGTATTAGCTTCCTGGGATCACTCCAAATGAATAATTCTAAAATATTTAAATATGTACACGTTATTTATATACATATAATTTGGTAATGAATTAAATTCTGTACAATTTGTAAGTGACTCCTACTATAGGTGCTCTGATAGAAACCTACCAATAACGTCTATCAATAAAATTAGTAATAGTACTGTAATAATAATAATGATGATGATGATCGTGATTATGATTAATAGGCGCCCTATTAATAATATTAAAAATTTGGCCTGAGAGGCAATTTAATTTGGCACGGGATTTGATCATAGTTATTATAGTAGAAAGCTTAGTAGGACTATATTAAGGCTTAGGCCTAAGTTGTCATAGATATTTAATTAGATCTCTATTGTTGCTGAGAATCCATGATAAAAGATCATGAGAAATTTGTTGTCGCTTCATTTTGACTATTATAATGGTGATGTGATGATGGATTTTTCTATATAAAAGTGTCATTTGCGGCCATCTAGAGGTACCATTTCCTCAAATTTTCTCACCTCAGCCCCAACCATCGGAGGCTGAGGTCACGGTAAAGCGGTATTTTAGTAGGTAAAGTAGCCTACATTCATAAAGACAGTGTTTTTAAGCTTTATTATGGTACATCACATATTAATAAGACCTCTATGGTTGCCAAATATCCCCAATAAACGATCATGAGGCGCTTTATTTTGACTATGCAGATGACTAAAAGTTTCATTTCTGGCCATCTAGTCAGTGCATAAATTTGTTTTCATGATGTGATATCTGGTTTTTTCATTCCTATTTTTCGTGATTATGACTATTTTGGATGAAGAATATTTTAAGCAGTGGCAGATTCAAGACTCCCACCCACCTACATTTTTTAAAAACATTTTTTAAGGGGGAAAATATATTCAAATTTAAGTCTGAGAGTGTAATTTTCGGCCATCCAAAGGTGCCCTAATCATAATATTATGTTCTTACTTCAGCACCAAGCCATGGTCAGTCTGTGAAAGT